TAATGTTTTTAAAACTCTATATTCTTCCAATTCAATTCAATTTAGTGTATTTTTTAGGTTTGAGTGATGTAGGTAAAAAAAATATTTCCTAAGTAAAACCTTTAAAAATCTGAAGGTCCATCTCTTTAAGGGAATTAGTTTTTGCATTGTTTGGATTCCAGTTTTATGGAAACCCTGAGCATATAATCACTGATGCACTGTTTTCTGTATCTGGTCAAATAAGCATATGAAACAAAACGCATCCAAATATGTCAGTGCTCAAATAAAACAATACTGTTTAATCTATTCTAAGAACTGCGATGACTTGGTTAGAAAACAACTAATGTTGCAAACCGGACTCAGGGACAGTCATTGTCTGTGAAAATTAATCGAAGAAGTTCATCAAAATTACCAAATAGAAACATATCAGTCCTTTTTTTGTTTGAAATGGGGGATTAAATGATAAGAGCAGCAGATGAAAACTGAAATAGTTTCCTTCCTGTTAGGCAGTTTGTAAGCAACGCATGAAAAACCTTTTGGCAAAAGTGCAACTCTCCTGCTCATGGGTCATTGCAGCTTTAAGAGCTACAGGAAAATAACCGGCCCTGCCCTCCATCATCCCCTCATCCTGCTGACCTCTAACGTAGGGTATAGTATACTTACAGCACATACGGAGAGGGAGACGGAGAGGAAGAAGAGGAGAAAAGAGAATGATTGCATATCTGAAGGCTTTAAGAGAGTGGCTATGGATGGGAGAGAGGAGTGACATGCTCGGACACATCTTTGCTTTCTTATTAGTGAGAGCTAGTGCGGACACTCTGGGCCCTTTTTATGGCGCCATGATGAAACCCCTCTACGTGCATCTGTGGAAAATGGCCAGGGGAAATCACAGATGAGAATCACTCAAAGACAGGGAGATGTCAACAGGCCCATAATGATAGCTGATGGCTCCAGAACACTCTCCCCTCTTCCCTCTCAGCCTTTACCTGCCCAAGTTGCACTACCCTTGAAAACATAATTAGAGGTAAAACAGAGAGACGGAAGCTTTATCTCTGTTTTCTGTAAGCAATGCTCTTTGTTTTAGACATCTGGGAGTCCTTTTTACCCCCTTCCCAATCTCTCTTTCACTTCATGGAGAGAAGAAGGAGGAGGAGAGCTCCCTCTGCGAGACGCCAAGGTGCTCCCAGTCCATTGTGCTGCTTGCTGTCAGGTTAAATTAGGGAGTACAGGCTCTGTGAGTGTAAAAAAATCAATACTTGATGGAAGATTGCTCCCCGGAAAATCTGTTTTGATTCCAGGATTAATTCTTGACCAAAGGCTCCTGCAAAATGACATGCCATTAGGCTGAAAATGAACACATTCTGCAGTGGAAATTGGATGGAAATGTGTCAGGTGATTGCCCCGGCTGCTTGTTTGGACTCTTCAAGCAAAGTGAATGGGGGGGGGCTTTAAGGTGTGGCGGCCGCAGACCAGGCCTGCAGGCCGACTCCATTTCCAGAACAGGGACATCTCCGCTGTGGCCTTCTTGTATTCTCAGGGCCATTGTTGTCCAAGTAGCTGCAAATGCACTCCACCGAGGTGAAATGCATTTTAACATCCGTCCACTCTCTCCTGTGTTTGTAAAGTGTGGCATGAAGAATGAGAGAATCTCAGAAATAAAATAACGGGGACTTTTCCCCCCCTTTCTCTCACTACTCAACAGTGGGGGAAAAAAAGGTGCAAAAATGCATTATTGATGAGTGAATAATGTGTTTGTCATGACAGATGACATTTCCTTGCTTTGAAAAGTTAAGCAGAAGACTGTAAAGATGCAGTGGACAGCCAGAAAAGACCATTTATGTATTTCAGTGATTCCCAATGCTCCGATAGCATATTTCTTATGGAGCCTTTGGCTCAATTTATCTGTCATTCATTGTTTTTTCATGCATTGCCAACCTGACTGAAATAAAAACAAAACTACATATCAAATGGTTTTGCTCGCAACATTTTTTTACTGTGATAAATGTTATAAACAGGGGTTAATAAAGGAAGGCAATCAATGTACTTTTATAC